GCTTTCTTAGAAATCTCAATACTAAGCAATAGTACATAATACTGCTTCTACTAATCTCAAACATATTAATCTTTTATATCGTAATCAAATGCATACTAATTATAAACAACATGAAAATATACTAAAATATTTAGTAAATACTAATATATCAACAACAGATCATCGCCAAAAAAAAAAAAATTAAATTAATCATATACTACACTAAATCTAGTATATCCAACTTAATTCTTCGCAATGATTCTTCTCCCACCGGTAAGCGATTTGCAAAAAACAACATAGTTTATAAATTCAAGTGCTCTTTGGGAGATTGTATCTCCAACGATTTAAATAATGTTTATGTTGGTCAAACCACAACTCGTTTTCACGACGCTTTACACTACATTAGACTGAAAACTCATTTTTAGACATTTAAAACACATTTTAGGCATTTAAAACAACATGCCTGCCCGCACGCACAATTCCGTAAAATACTTGTCGAAAACACAATTATACTTCGACATGAAAACAATAGACAAAAACTAAAAATCCTTGAAGCATTATACATCAAACAGTTGAAACCCAACCTAAACAAAATCAATTATGGAATCTCTACAAATATCCTTAAATGTCTATAATTGGTAACAGAAACCATTGGTTTATACCAATGGCTTCATACTTCTCCAATTCACTCTTGCGTGGTCATGTGTGACGTCATGAGATGCGGTGCGATTTTCGCTTCTAGCGTCTTATATGCACGTGTTTATCGTTGCTTAGAAATTATCTATGTAAACAATCACAGACTATCATCACTGTCTTGTCCGTATATTGCTTAATATGTTGTGATTGACATTTTTGATAATGGCTTATGTAAGCCGAAAGCTTAGATTTTATTAAAAAATATGGATCAATATTATGAATTTCTTTCTTCGTTCAATGATAATGTTATTAAACGTTATGATAAGAATTTACATAAAATAAATAGACAAGTGTTGTCTATATTATGTAATGAAACGTGTATATATATATATATATATATATATATTGTTTTATATTTTATAATTTATATTGATTTATATTATTTTGTAAAGGTGTCTATTGCTAACCTACCTAACAGTCCTGTATAAATGGCAGGAGAAGAATTAGGAAGAGTAATAAAAAGTCAGACATTGCTAAGAGCAACAAAGGATAGGAAATTTTGGGGAGCCATGATCAATCTACTTAACAATTTGTTTAATGGGTGGTAGAATAGGGATTGTGAAGCTTAATAAAACGTCAAAAATTGCCAAAAGCTGCAGTGGAAAGGAAGTCGTTGAGAGCCTTGATTGACCACGCCCTGAAGGGTCATGGCACAGAGAAAAATAAAGGAAACCTCTCATGGTCTTTGGTTTTCCTAATCCTTTTTATGGGCGATAATGGCTGACCCTAGACTTGAATAGATTAAAATTGTTGTGTCCAGGAAAGCATCCTCTTGGGAGTCTGTTCTACAACGTGACAGTTATTGAGAAGAAGTTATCTAAATTGAACCAATGGAGGAATGAGGATGTGTCTATTGTGTGTACGAGTCATGACGGGGTCTAACTGTGGAGATGGGCAAGTGGCCGAGTGATTAGAACGTTTGCAATCTGACTTTGAAACCTGGGTTCGAATCTCACCATGGTCGATTTCTCAGGTAGAAGAATGTCGATCCCAGCGTGCGGCACCTTTGGAAAGCCTTGTGAGTTAGTTTGGTTAGACGGATAGCTTCAGCCGGTTGGCCTTGTTGAAATTGTTGATCACGCTAGATAACGCGCTCCTTCCCAGAAACTCTATGGTCTGTTAAGAAACTAAGGTCTGCTCAACATAGTTGCAGTAAAAGCCACAGGTGAATAAACACAAATGCACTTGAGCAAGCGTCTAGCCAACCCCTATTGCAGACTCTTGCTAGCAGACGCGTATCCTCGAATACGAATGGCCAGCTATACTAAATTGTAAAACGGAACTAAAGAATGGTATCTCGTCTGAAGATTAGCCTGCAAAATGACGATAGTGTATCGAGAAACTTGGAAAAGTGGATATATGAAAATAATAGTTCATCGCCCATAAGGCTGCGTAAATACTGATGTGCCAGCTTCAAAATGGGGGCAATGCTTCATTTTTTGCCTAGTTTGACTTATAAATATGACCCATGGCATTAGGAGACAGATACTCTATGGACACGTATAAGAAACCGACTATTTTTCCAGCACCTTCATATCGATGGATATTATACACGTGTATGAGTTCCACTTGAAACCCAACTGATTTTCAAAAATCTAAACGATTCACAAAGGCCCACGCTGATCCTCTTAGAGCCAATTTTGGTCTGACCTGTGCTGTGGAAGGTATACTGTTGCACTAACGATTCGTCGACCATGAGGAGAGTGTGTTATTTCGTCCTTCTTGGAGGAATGTTTATATCGCGCGTTGCCTAAAACGAAGTAGTACTAAGGCGTTACATCCAATATGCCAAACAATTTTCAGGTAGGCTCTAAGAATCTGGCTACCCACAAACGGATCAACTTGCGCAAAAGAAGAAATTGAGCGTCTCTATGAAATGATAATGCTAGTTAGAATAGTCTACTAAGATTTATCGTACCTCCTGTCACTTTCTAAAGCTCAGAAATAGACGGCGCCCTTATAAGAGTTATGATATATCATAAGATGTCCAAGTCCTTCATATTTTGCAATTTCCTCAAGGTCATTTGCCATTCTATTTACATTATTCGGACTATTGTCCTCATCTTTGTCGCAATATTTATCACAACGTTTCGGCCGTTGTACGCTCCGGCCTTCTTCAGGTAGTTGGAATGTTGAACTGAACCCTTTATTTCGCTCACTGGAGTAGACTGTTCTACTTCCACATGCCATGTCGTAATGGATGTCAGTTATCTCCTGTTAATTCCCTCTCAAAGTTCTCCACTGCCTTAACCAGGGATTGAAATCTCACTCTTTGGGTCCTGTCACTGGATATAACTAACGCCCTTAACCACTGTCTCATGTGTCCTGAAGAAGGCCGGAGCGTAGAACAGCCGAAACCTTGTGGTAAACATGGCGACAAAGATGAGGACAATAGTCCGAATAATGTAAATAGTGTACATAATACCTCATCTCAGAAATATAGACAGATACTGAAAGGCCGAAACATTGTAATAAATATGGCGACAAAGATGAGGACAATAGTCCGAATAATGTAAATAGTGTACATAATACCTCATCTCAGAAATAGAGACAGATACAAATTTTCGATGTTTGAAGATTCTTGTGAAGATCGTTTAAGGCAGAAGTTCCAAAACTTTTTTGCACCATCATCTACTTTCACATGGAAAGATCTACCACTGCCAAATATTCAAAATTAGTAATTGATGTTTTGACGGGCATTTTCCCTACCTTTATAAATAGCCAACACGATAAAAAAAAGTAAAAACAATTTCTGTTCATATCTCTGAGATGAAGCATTATGATTATTTGCATCATTTATTTCGGCCTGTTATCCGGTTACCAAATTCACAAGGTTTCGACCTTTGTGATTGGGATTTCGAACCGAACCCTTTATTTCCTCAACTGGGGCATATTGTTCTAGTTCCACTTGCCATGCCTCTTCCGAATGTCTCGTTTATTTTCTTTTAACTCAACTCTCTAAGTTCTGGTTCACTACTGTTTTGGTCTGGTATTGAACTTACAATTCTTTGGGCCTAATCACTGGATCTAACCAACGTCTTTATTCACTGGGCTGTGTGTCCTTGAGAAGAAATCTGAATGAATTTCTGGGGCTTAAAAGCCTAATGTCTCAGCAACATTTTTTACTAGTGCTCATATTGCAATTTGTTTGTTATTATTTCAGAGTTTATATTGCAATATTTTTGTTATTGTTCATTGCCTTTCTGTAGCACTACTTATTACTAGTTTCCATATTGTATTCATTTCTATGCTTGGCCGGATCATATGTGCTGATTCCTTAAGTTTTCGTATTTTCCAGTAATGCTCTCTGTCTATTATTTTAAACTCATCCCACGGAGGGGGGAATCCATTTTCCCTCCTTAAAAACAATATATATTAAATAATAATTTTCCTGAGGTCACTTGTTAATTTTTTCTGGCAAAGTTGTTTTGATCTTCCCTTATGTCTCACCAAAAGTTTTTACCAGTGCTCATATTGCAATTTGTTTTACCACTACGCATATTGCAATTTTATACCCGATAAGATTTATTTGAATGTTTAAGACCATTTTCAATATTAAAGAGAATACCAAAATATTCTTTGTTTCCGTGGAAATTTTTACCTTATCTAAGAATATGATCCAGTTATTCTCATTTACCGTCCTGTTTTGTTTTAGACAGGTAATTTACATATTTCTTTTCAATATTCTTCTTCGCGTAGCATATGTTGCAATACATTTTTAGTAATTAAAACCCTATATCACAGACAAAAATTTCAGCTCGCCGATCATTTTTGTATTCAGATACTCGGTGTTGGCATCAATGTCCACTATTATATTTACTCACGCTCTATCAGGGATATTGGACACTTTTAGCCATGCATATATTATACCTAAACATTGTACATTACAATCTCTATCTATATCTATCTATCTATCTATCTATCTATCTATCTATCTATCTATCTATATATATATATATATATATATATCTTATTACAAATCACTGGCTACCAGATGATTGCGTGCAAACACATGGTACTAATAGTAGTGACCAGTCAATGCCAACCTGGTTATTTTAATTAATATATATATATATATATATATATATATATATATATATATAGAGAGAGAGAGAGAGAGAGAGAGAGAGAGAGAGATAGATAGATAGATAGATAGAAAGAAAGAAAGAAAGAAAGAGAGTGAGAGAAAGAACAGCGGAAACAGTTTACGATAAGAAAAAATACTTTTACGAATGTAAAAAACAATTGAATAAAAAGCTTAATATCAGTACCTTGAGTCGTTTTATCTATAATTGTATATTTGGGTAGCTGTCTCTCTTTTATACAAGAGAGACTGCTACCCAAATGTACAATTACAGATAGATAGATAGATTGATAGATAAATAGATAGATAGATTCATAAGAAATTATGTGAAATTGGAATTCTCTTCGTATGGGTAAATAGTATACCTGACTGGGTTTTATAGCCTTGGATAGCAACAGTTACTCTGAATTCAAAACTGTATATAGCCCTAGCGTAGCATATATTATACAGCTAAAGAAATGAACTTTCTCATCGACTCGATGATCCCGACTCCAGTTGACCTTGATGGACGGATAATCAAAAATAGGATTATTTGAAATAAAAAAACAAACTGTTGCCTGCATTTTTATTAAAGAGCCAAAATCTGCACAAATTAATATAAGTATGTATCCGTTAATGTATACTTAATGTTATTGAGTGTTGCTTTTTCTTTTTTATTATTAGTGTCTCCATTATTTTTAATCTTTTTAATTTTTTTTTTAAATGAGTCCTAATTGAGTTATAAGCTATTGCGTTGTAACGTGTGTCGTCTAGATAGGCATCTCTCTCATTCTCTCTCTCATCTCTCTCACTTTTTAACCCTTTATTCTACATTCAACACCATCACTTGATAAGACACCAGAAATGCTGAAACAAAATGGCTATTTTTGTAGTGATTTTATAATATATTTATGTTATAATTTTTGAATAAATATTTATATTTGCTCTACTCTGTATTGAGCACTCTTTTAAGAATAGAATTTGTTGGTTATTGGAATTTATTCCGTATACAATAATCCTATACTTGTATATATATATATATATATATATATATATATATATATATATATATATATATATATATGGATGGAGAGAGAGAGAGAGAGAGAGAGAGAGAGATGCAGCTGTAACAGCAAAATTGTCCAAATCGTCTAACAGCAAAATTGTCCAATTGTTAGATTAAGCTTTGGATCGTTCAATCTTAGAAATGATTAAAGATATCTTACTGGAATTCCCCAAGGTTTTTCTAACACTATTGGAGTCTACTTTGAAGAATAAGAATGCATTCAGCGCTAAGCAGAAATGATGATCCGTCCTCCTGTTGTGACTCCTTGATCCAGTTTTCCTCTCTACTGTTCCCCCTTTTTTAAACTTATTCACCGTTCTCTTGATGGTTCTTGGATGGACTTTGAAGATGGTAGCCAGATTATGTATGTTGGTACCATTACGGAAGTGGTCTTTTTCCTCTCACCATTGCTCAGTTGGGAAGACATAGTGGGACTGACACAAAATGAATTTAACCTGTTCTCTTTCTAGCTGAATAACTCAAAGGTTTTTTTAGTGCTTTTTACGACAAATGGTGTCAGGAAGGCTAAGCGTCTTATCTGAAAACGTGGAAAAGAAAAACTTAGTTAATTTACTGGCTGTTTTAGATATTTTAACATTTTGTGGGATGGACTTCTTTTTTTTCGGTGGGGGGCGTTTCACCCCAAGTAAGGTGGGAAGCCACTAGCACGTAAGGCAGCGTAAGAGAGTTGGAGCGAGAGAGAAAAGGAGTGATAGAGGAAAGGATGAAGAGAAGGTCTGGGGATAGAACAAGGCCTCTGGAGACGTCGATTGACATTACATTTGAATAGTTGGAGAATATAGCTATCAGGGAAACAGGAAAATGGGAAGGAATTCCACAGACGAGAGGTGCAAGACATGAAGCTATTGGAGTAGAAGAGACGGCTACATTTAACAGTTTCGACAGTGGACGGGTGTGAGCGAGATGCCAGCCTAGTAAAACGCTTAAATTCATGAAGTCTGGGAACCAGCGAAAGAAGCTCCTCGGAGCAGTTACCATGAAAGTATTTGTAAAAAAAAGACAGTGGAAGGCGACGGCACGTCTGTGAGAAAACGACTGCAGCCGAGATGCCAGATCAGGGCCAATTACATTGCATATCCGTCTCTGGATTTCATCAAGAACCTTGAGACAAACAGAGGGGACACCGGACCATATATGGCAGCAATACCCCATGCAAGGGCAAGGGCTTTATTCTTCATATAAAGATAAATGATAAAAAGACGAAACGTTAAATGTCTAAGAAGAAACAAATGTGACTGTTGGCAAAACGAAGAACACAACATAAAAATTAGATTGGGGATATCAAAATCAAATAAGTATAAATATCTAGGAAGTGTTCCATCATAAGATGGAATATGCGACACCAGTATCAGAATGTGCATTGGGATATCGAAAGATGCCTTCCAGAAGCTAAGAATCAGGAAAATTTCGTTAGACATAGAAAAGAGTAATGAACTGCTACGTAATATAGCAGAGAATGCTGGACAATCTCATCAAAGATGAAGAAAATTAAGGCAACAGAAATGTGGTTCTACGGAAGGTTACTGATAATACCTTGAACCGAACATGTGAGCAACGACGAAGTTGTAAAGTGAAAGGAAACGAAATGGACACTTATACTTAACATTAAAAAAAGACAGTTGAAACCTTTAGAGCACATAATGAGGAAAGAAGGCCTAGAAAATCTAACACTAACAAGACATATTATAGGCAAAAGGAAGAGATGAAAGCAAAACATTTTGTGTAAAGCGTTGGCGAAACAGGAATTTGAAGCGATAGGGAAAAAACATAATTTCCTAGGAGTTACAAAGGAGAGGAAATTGTGGAGAGCCATGATCGCCAACGACCTGAAGAGACATGGTGCATAGAAGAAGACAAACCTCAAATGTTTGTGAATGTTCTACTGAAAAAATTTCATGCAAAAAAGTTTTTAAAATTAAAAAAAAACAGAACATTTAAATTGGTTTAGAAACCAATTTTTAAAAGCGTTAAAAGTTTAGAATGAAAAAAAAAGTGTAGATATTAATTATGTTACCACATTTTCAATATTAAGATTTGTAGATAATAACTAGTTCCAATAACTCTGTAAAGTCCAGGTTCCCGTTTTACACTATATTGCTATTATGAACAGGAGGTCCTTTCTAAAATGGCAAAAATAAAAAAAATCAATATTTTTCGATTCTGACAAAATGTCGCTGACTAAGGAAGTTCTAAACATTGTTAAATTAGAAAAATTATTTCCCCAAAAGAATTTCCCGACTTTTACGAGTAGACCATTCTATTTAAGAAGTGCTATATACATATACGTACCTTTCTCTCTCTTTCTCTCCATATATATATATATATATATATATATATATATATATATATATATATATATTTGTATATTTAGGCAGAAACCCTTCCTTTATGCATGCTTCATTAAAAACGACAGACAATGTAATGTTTCTTGTGTTCTAACAAGACCTTTCTTTTTTGGACAAAGGTTGTGTAAGAACTGTCCAAATGTTTTATATTTCCGAGCGCTTTCGGCTATACCTTTAGCCATTATCAAGGATGATTCGATTTTTCAGCTTAATTGAGTGTGTGTGAGTTCTGTGTATGTATCAGTGTGTGGTAGGAATGTTATTAATTTCCGAATACGGTTAGCACATTGTGGCTTTGTTCGTAATTAATATTGTTAAGAGTTGGCTAAGAAACAATTAAATAAAAAGCTTAACCGTAGTAGTACCTTGTCTGTCGAATTTAATGAAACATGCATATATATATATATATATATATATATATATATATATATATATATATATATATACAAGAAAGAAATTCGGATTACCAACACACAAACAGAGAATGTCTCATATCGAGAATATTTAACATTGAACATAAGGAAAAATTAATTATTTTAATAATATATGGAAATCTCCACTTTTACCTGAAGACGGTCGAGAGACCAGAAGCACGTGTCGTAAAATTATGTAAAACAAAGCATAATATTTTTTCTAAATAAATCCACATTACAACCAAAAACGTTTGCGGCACCTCTCTTCTCTTCTTTTAATATACATACTTTTTCTCTCGTTGGAACCACTACAACATATTTCTTTTTATATATATATATATATATATATATATATATATATATATATATATATATATATATATATATATATGTATGTATATATATATATATATATATATATATATATATATATATATATATATATATATATATATATATATATATATATATATATATGCGTGTGTGTGTGTGTGTGCGTGCGCGTATGTATTCCGCTTCCTTTCTAAGTAACTCCGACCTAACTTCCATGTTTATTTATTTGCCTTTATTACCCTTTCACTATTTACCCTCCTCCCGGTCACCTTTCTGCGACTCTGACATTTTTATCGGCTTTCTTAAATAGGCGTGCATGTCTCAAGAAAGAAACTTAATAGCTCCACAGATAAGCTGACACTACACGTGTGTGTGTGTGTGTGTGTGTGCGCGCGTACCCTCGGTCCTAAATGTGTGACTGTATGTGCCCACACGCCGCGTTGGACGCCTGTGTGCGTGAGGGGTCGTTGAAAGTCTCCCATCCCGCGCCATCATTTTAGAGAAGATAGGCTTATGGGATCTAAAGAGGGTGTGTGGGAATCTGCCGACCCCTGATCATATTTCCAGTTCAAGCCTTGCTAACAGCAAACATTTTTGCCTACTACACACACACACACACACATACATACAAACACACACACACTCATCTCTCTCTCTCTGTCTCTTTTATATATATATATGTGTGTGTGTGTGTGTGTATATATATATATATATATATATATATATATATATATATATGAAGAAATATAGTCTTCAGATGTGCTATATTTATGGGATAAAGTGCTCAATATCAGAGATAGAGCTTCTGTAAATATAAAAGTGGAGATCGAATTTAACACTTAGAGGCGACAGTCTGTTTCATGCAAGATGCAATCGTCAGGCCAATTTTTTATATATATATATATATATATATATATATATATATATATATATTATAATTTATTTTAAAAATTATGCGATGGAATTATATTTTTAAAAATTAAAGTAATTATAATTTAGGCTTTACTTGTATATTGAGCACTGTTTTTTAAAAGCAAAAAAAAAAATCATGCTAAAGAACTTTGGATGATTAACCTAACGGTTCTTTCCTATTTTTTTATATATATATATATATGTATATATATATATATATATATATATATATATATATATAGAGAGAGAGAGAGAGAGAGAGAGCGATAGATAGATAGATAGATAGATAGATAGATAGATAGATATGAACAGAAATCGATAGATAGATAGATAGATAGATAGATAGATAGATAGATAGATATGTACAGAATTAGATAGATAGATATGTACAGAATTAGATAGATAGATAGATGTGTAGAGAATTAGATAGATAGATAGATAGATAGATAGATAGATAGATAGATAGATAGATAGATAGATATTTGCTAATTTCACCCCAGCAAGGCGATAATGACCCTAGGACGCAGGCGTGGAGTTACAACGACTGACAGAAAATGGGATGACTTTAATGCGGAGAAGTGAGGAAAAGCACAATACAGGATTCAGGATGGCAGAAAATGGCGATTGCCGTTGCATTTAAATTTTAGAAAAATATATGTGACAGGGAGACAAGAAATCAGAAGGAAGTTCCACCAGCGAGACATAAGAGGAAACTATTAGAATTGTATTGACAGTTGCCTTTTGTTCAACAGTAAAATGTTGAGACCTAATTGCCAACCAAGTCAGGCAGTTATATGACATGCGTGATACAGGCTTAGACGATCATGTATCTTTCGATACATGACTGACGGGGTAGAATTTTTTTCTCGCAGTAGGTTGTCATTTCTTTCTGCGGTAGACCAGTTGCCATCCAAGAACCCGAATCTAGTAGTACGCTTAAATTCGTACAGTCGACGTACCAAGCAGAACAGTACATTTCATCATTAAATATTTCAGCCAAATTGAATCTTATAGAGGACTGATAAACTAGTGAAAGATAATTTGGTGAAACCACTCTTCCATGAACAGCTTAATAATTATAGAGATTTTTTTTTGTTTTTTTGTAAATGTCGCATCCTTTCAGGATTCATGTTTATCCACAATTTCTTTTATTATTATTATTATTTTTATTTTCTTTGATTTCTGGCGTTTACACATTTCTTTCCGGGTCCCGCCCAGGGACCTAAGGTTAGAGATGGCGTCATGACACTTTCCACTGACAAAAAAAAAAAAAAATACATAGATAAAGACCTTCGTAAAGTGTGGGCTGTACTTGTGAGAACAATTTTTTGTATCTCCTTGAGGCATGGACTTCCAGGAATCCCTTCAATTAGTCTACTGCAATCTTTTCCAACCAGTCCTAGGGCTCCAACTACAACAGGGATTGTTGATGTTCCCTTATGCCACATTTTCGAGATTTCTATTTCAAGGGCCTTGCATTTTGACAACTTTTTGAATATCTTCAAAGATACATTGCAGTTAGCAGGGACTGCCATATCAATAAGGAGGCACTTTTTTTTGTTTGTGATCTTTAATAACAATATCTGGTCGGTTGGCCTTGATTGTTCTGTCAGTGTGTATTGCGTAGTCCCATAGAATTGTAACAGGTCCTATCTCCGTAACCAGGTCTGGATGGTGTTCATACCAGTTTCTTTCATTTTCCTTCCCGTAGAAGTTGCAGATTTTCCAGTGCAGATATTGGCCCACTCTGTCATGTCGGGTTTTATTATTATTATTATTATTATTATTATTATTATTATTATTATATTATTATTATTATTATTATTATTATTATCTGCGAACTTTCATGCTATCTTGCGAAAGATAGGAAAGTGGTTTTCCATTGCCTTCTCCACGATTTGAAATTCGGAGTTTTCCTTCTCTTCGAATGGTTCCTGCCCAAGACAATAGAACGCAGTCTATTTTGTTATTTCTACCATAGTTGTAGTTGAGAATATTCAGATTTCATGCACTTCACAAAGAGTAGCCCGGAATTTGATTTCGACTCTCCCGTGTCACTTTCCTCGTCCATATATATTACACCCTACCAACATATCCCAACCCAGAAGGAAAGAATTTAAATATCTTTGAAATCGGGGCCCCACTCAAGTAAAAGGCGCAACCTAATGATTACCTGGATTTGAATAACGCGCGAACTGTCTGTACTACCGATATTTGCCGCGATCCTTTCTGAGCATCATCCTAATAACATTTAGATATTATTAGGTTGGTGCAAAATAATGACGTAATAATGTCGTTTTTGGACGTATTTTTTAACGTCAAAAAACGACATCATTACGTCATTATTTTTGCACCTACCTAATATCTCATTGGGACTACATCTTTTATTATTCGTTTAACCTTATTTCCAAATATGACGTTAGTTTTAGGCACATGCTCACATTTATAGGGCCCCCTGAATGGCGAGCTTCATACTCAGTAATCATCTCGCTGAGGAGTTCATAGACTAGACGTGGGTGTATTTTTACTGGTCAAATGTACTAAAAATAGCCAGATGCTACTCATTTGCAAGCACACTTGTCTTTCAGGTTTGGCCAGTGAATCCCTATTACAGGGGCTTGCTCAATCCACAGAACACATCTGTGGTTTAAACCGCGAACTATGCATAGTAACAATATCTGGGAGAGATCTGGTGGGATCAGTTTCTTGAATAAAGCCAATAGGCTCATACTCTCAGTCACGATGACTTGTGACTTCATGCTAGCACAAACATCGACAACTGGAACCTGTTCTGTCTGGGCAAATTCAACTCAACTTTAAGTGCAGAATCTGAAAATTAAGTAAGATTAAAAAGTTAGAAATTATTACTGTTACATAAAAATATACATTACTTGTAAATTAAAAAAATATATATTAATTATAAAATGTACTTACAGTTATGACAGATAATATCGAGTAGGTGAATATTTAAACAAATCTTTTAAAATTAAAGTCCAATATTCAATTTATCTTTTATATAACATTAAAAAAGTTAATTATTTGTTTGCCGCCAGGTAGTAAATTATCCCCGGATCGACGTCGACGAACAAATCGACAATGGCGAGAAATCGGGATTCATAGTCAGAAAACGAATATTGAAACCCAATAGTTTTCATCCGTTTTTTTTTTACCAAGGACCGGCTTCATGCGGGACAATCTTTCCGCGGACCGGTAGTGGCACATATGTATAATTTAAGTGCATTTCGATAAAGAGAGCAATAATAAAAAGAGCAATTTATTAAAAGGAAAAAAAAGGGTATAATCTTTTGACTCTCTTGTCCAGGGTTCGAACTCAACCACACCCTTGCGTTCTTAGTTTCCCTGAATCAATTCCTATTATAATATTGTCACATCAATATCAATTCAGCAGAATGAAAAATCAATGGGGAATCCGTAGAATTTGAAAAATAGTTGGCATTAGAAAATTACTTGAAAATTATTACAAATAAATAAAAATATAAACTAATTGTAAAATGTACTTAATGATAGATATTAAAGATAGACGCAAAATATACAGTATTTATGAAAATATATATCTATATCTATAATTCTCTAAATGTGTGTATGTGTATGTGTGTGTATGTATGTGTATGTGTGTGTATGAATGTGTATGTGTGTGTATGTGTGTGTATCTGTGTGTATGTGTGTCTATGAATGTGCATATGTGTGTATGTGAGTGTATGTATGTGTATGTTTGTGTATGAATGTGTATGCGTGTATGTGTGTGTATGTGTGTGTATGAATGTGTATGTGTGTGTATGTGTGTGTATGAATGTGTACGTGTGTGTATGTATGTGTATGCGTGTATGTGTGTGTATGTGTGTGTATGAATGTGTGTGTTCGGCTATTGTTTATGCATTTCCACAGTTTTCATCCTATTTCGATAATTTTTTTTTTTTCATAGATAATTCTTCAGTGCCGGTTTTGAGTCCAAATTGTTGGCGACAATGACCCCCACCACTACTTCCTGTCCATTATAATTTTCAGCAACGTTTTATTATTTGCTTTTTGTTCTTGGATATATATATTTCATAAAAAACTTTAATAAAAAAAACAAATAGTTTAAATTAGTACAATAATATTATTTATTATGCAGTTAAATTTATATAATTAATTATTATACAGTTCTTTTTTCAAGGCCATCCTCCATTCAAATTGTGAACCCCCACCCCACCCCCAATTTAAGGATATGCCTCAGTTACACCGAAATGTTGTTACTAATATTAATTTTCGGGTGGGCTGAATTTAAGGTTAAACTGCTCCAATTGAACGGCAAAAATCCCCAGTGATGAAAGGCCCCGTCGAAGACGGGTTATACTGCTAGTATATTATAAAATTTACTTACAGTTATGATATGATTGAAGTATTGAGTTGATGAATATTTAATATTTAAACAAATCTTTTTTTAAATTAAAGTACAATATTCAATTTATCTATTATATATTTTTAAAGTTAATTATTTATTTGCAGCCGAGTAGCAAATGATCCCTGGACCGATATACGTCCGCGCCTCTGTTGTTGAGGACCTCTCTTCTAACCACTTGGCCACGCTTTCCGTACATTGCGAAATCATAAATAATTAAATAGTTTCCTACGTGGTTTTCATCCCAGAAGCTACCTCCATGGACCACGCTTTAATCAATTCGACCACGGAAACGTCATTGTTAAACTGGTACCAATTTTTTATAGTTGTGTTACCACCCAACTTCGTATTCTCTTAAGTAATAATAACATTAGAAAAGTTTATTAGTCACTGATTAATTTTAATTTCACATTAGACAATGTGAAGATGAGTTATTTTACATTATCTGATATGTTATTCTATTTTGCGTTTAATCTTTCTTCCTATAGATATCTTCAAAGCCGCCTACTGTAACAACTTTCACTTGGTTTTATCTTAAAAAAACATGACAGTGGAAACTGTTGTTATAGCTGCCAAGGCAAATCAAATTACAAGTCAAATTAGTTTGTGACATCGATAATTCAGTTGAAACAAGAGATTAATTCAGATAGTTATCTAGTTCTAATTTTCTCATTCAATGAGACTAATTAATTCTATTTCTTCTTATTCTATGTGCCGTGTCCCTTCAGAACGTTGGCAGTTATGGTCCTCCACAATTTCCTGTCCTTTGTAGCTCTGAGTAAAATTTGTCTTTTTGCTATCTCTCTTAATCATTGTTCCGCAAAACATTAGCACAAGTTCCTTAGCTAAGTTATACGTTGTTTCTTCCAGTCCTTTTTACTTCAATATGTCCTGTCAGTGTTAAATTCTCTAAGCCCTCTTTTCTCATTATAGGCTCTAGAAATTTCAGCTGCCTTTTTTCTGATTCTGTGTTTAAGTGTACATTTTTGGTTTGGTTTGTTTTACGGCATATCAACCTCAATTGGTTTTATTAATGCTAACAAAATTTTTGTTGCTGGTAATATTTTTTTTTCCTTCATAAATCTATTTTTGGTAATATTTTTTTCTTCAAGAATGTATTGCTGGTAATAATTTTTTTACAAAAATTATTTCTGGTATTGAAATCTATTTTTACATTTTCCTAGTTCGTTGACATCAACACGGGGGTTAACAACTTGCCCAAAACCGGGACCTCAACGGGTACCACCACCCCGAGCCAGGGCGGACCTGGGAACACCAGCAACCAAGAGGTGGGTCCACACTCCTCAAAACCTCCCGATCAGAAGCCCTGCCGCTGGACGCAGTTCATCGTCTTACCCAGGACGCAGTTTATCGTCATTCCCAGGACGGGTACATTTTTGTTTCCATTTTCTCTAAAACTTCTTCGTTGATTAAATTTTGAGTCCAAGTTATTCTCAACATACTTATGAGAAACTACATTTCTGTTGCTCCAAGACTGTACTTCCTCTGTGATGACATTGTTCAACAGTCACTGCCATATCAGAGGACTGCTATTGAGTAACAGTTAAGTATGCCTTTGTTTGTAACGAAATTTTCTTGTTTCTTAATACTTTGCTCAACTTTTGGAAGGCATCTTTCTCTATAACACCGAGTCTTCTAATTTTTGGGTCGAATTTTCTTCAAGGTGATTTTTATCAAATGACTTCTTAACACTTTATTAAAAAAAAATAAAAAACTAATGAACGCTATATACTTATTTTCAAAAATAAATAAGCAAACGCACGATGTTGGGTGTAATAGAAAAGGAGGAAGAAGAAGAAGAAGAAGAAGAAGAAGAAGAAGAAGAAGAAGAAGACGAGGAGGAGGAGGAGTAAGGTATTGTAAATGTATGGGGGGAATTGAAATTTACATTACATTTTTATAGAATATGTCTTGAGATTTTCATTTGATATGTTTATTGTAGCAAATATTTTCCATGTGCTTATAATTCACAGCTCAGTTATTGACAAGGAAAGAGATCATGTTTAGAAATTAATATTTTTTGTGTAAAATAAATTGTTTTGTTTTTTTTCTCGGTAGACGAGGAACTTATTGATATGCTTACAGATATATTACCTGACTTCAATCCGAGCCGATATTTTATTCCTTGTAAAAAAAATATAATCAAAATGGCACAGATCTACGTGGTCTTCAAAAATACATATACTGGTTGTAACAACAAAACTGTCGATTTGTTAGATTAATCTTTGAACCTTTGTATCTTGGAAATGTTTAAAGATATCTTACAGGAATTCTCCGAGGGTTTTATAACACTATTGGACGCTACTTTGACTAATAAGTATGTACAATTACTCTCCACGTTTAAAAGAAGAATTATGATGAATCGATCATAAATGAAAATGACATGTTCATCACTAATTAATCATAGCTAAGGATTGGAAGCTCATGAAGGATTAAAATGAAGTTCAAAATATATATATATATATATATATATATATATATATATATATATATTACATGAATCATTCATACAAAAACAGATATAGAAGTTAATGATTTAAATGGCGAGAATACATCTTCGCAAACAAATTTAATAAAGTACATTAACCCGAACCTGTATATGAATATTAGGATCCCTGTTTATAAATTCCAGTTGCATAAGGTCTTTTTTAGTTTTTTTACAAGCTTTCAACTGTTCATACAGACACCATCAGGCATGGAAATAGATTTGTTTTTTGTTTTTTATTTCTCGGTAATAACAGGACAACAAAAGAATAGATGTAATCCGAAAAAATATTTTTAGAAATGTGTTATTGTTAATTGTAAGAATTTTTTGGAGCGTACGGTCGCAACGCTGAGGTTGAATTTTTAAATTTTAAGATTGTGCGTTTTTGTACTAATATGGTAATAGGAGACTTCTTTTGTACTGGTAGGTTTTTCAGTCAATGTGGCATGAACTAAATTGTTCAATAAATACAGGAATATCACAGTTATTATCCGAAAGTTGCACGTCGGATCAGTTATTTTAACATCAAGTATATATATATATATATATATATATATATATATATATATATATATATATATATATATATATAATATGGACTCTTCCGTCGGTTTCGACGTATGAGGATCTGACAGCTTAATTCAGTTATGAAAATTTGTGCGATAATCTTAAGTGGCACTGAGGACCCGCTACTGATTTACAAAGGAGGCCACGTATGGAGTAAGAGTGAGGATTGTTGGAACAGATCACTGTTAGATTGGCTGATCTTTTAGATTTTGCTCTCGCTTCTTGAAGACGATTGAGACAAGCAGATAATACGAATGAACGAATTAAGGTAAACCGCCGGAAAATCCACACAAGTTATTAGGTTAAAGTGGTGAAGGCTTGTGCAGGACCATCCACACTTTTCGGAATAATTGACACACTCAGTCGGTGCAAATAATTGCCACAGACGAAGCAGACAATTGACCTCACGCTTTTCGTGTAATAGTTTTCCATCTACTAGAGCAGTCGTGTTCTATAACACTAAAGAGTTTGATCAGCCCTGGTAGGGACTATTTGCCCATACCTGGAACCCTAACAGGTGCTACCACCCCGGGTCAGGGTGGACCTGGTAACAACAGCAATTAAAAGGGGGTTCCACGCTACTCTAATCCTCCAATCACCTGATGAGGACATAAATAGATAGATAGATAGATAGATAGATAGATAGATAGATAGATAGATAGATAGATATGAACAGAATTATATCGATAATGATAAAATTAGATAGCTAAATAGATAATAAACAAACTGTTATAGATATAACGAAGAGACATATAGATAGAGAGAGACAGAGAAAAAGAGAGATGAGCAGAATTAGATAGATAGATAGATAGATAGATAGATAGATAGATAGATAGATAGATTGTGAGGTAGGAAACAATATTGGCTATTGTCAGTTTCCCGCCTGAAAGTGATATTCGGTTTATGTCCATACTCTATCCATATCTATAAATCCTCGGTCTGCCATAGTTTCCAATCTGAAAAAGTTAACCCCACCCCCTTTTGGTTTGGGCAAGGAAAAGTAAACGCGACCTAAGCTGAAACTTTAAACAATAAATTTCATAAATAGCCATTTCTTTTCAGGTTGTTTTTCGGATCTTTGTTCTTTTTTCGCCATCTTGTTCTTGTCTTTACCAAGGATTCTTTTTCCACTTTCCTCCATTTCTTACCATCTATTCTTTCTTTCTTTCCTTCTTTTTTTCTTTCTTTCTTTCCTTCTTTCTTTCTTTCTTTTTTTTTTCTTTCTTTTCTTTCTTTTTTCTTTCTTTCTTTCCTTCTTTCTTTCTTTCTTTCTTTCTTTCTTTCTTTCCTTCTTTCTTTCTTTCTTTTTTTCTTTCTTTCTTTCCTTCTTTCTTTCTTTCTTTCCTTCTTTCTTTCTTTCTTTCTTTCTTTCCTTCTTTCTTTCTTTCTTTTGCTTTTCCTACATTTAATTATGTATAACTGATTTTTAAAATTTTATTTCATACTTTTATTTTTCTTTCTTTCTTTTTTATTCGTACCCCATATTTATCTTTACATTTTTCTTCTTTTTTCATTCTTTACTATATTTTTCACGCGTCTTTCATTGCGATTTCTTTTCTTGTTTCAGTCTTTGCTCATGTTTAAATAACTCTTTCATTTTTCGCTTTTTTCATTCAGTCTTTTTTCGTCTCCCTCAGTATCATTTTTTTCATCTTTTTGTACTTTTTCATATCTTTTTTTACTTATCTTTCTTTATGTCTCTTCCGTTGTCTGTTTCTATTACTCTTTCTCTCTCTCCTTTCTCTTTCTTTTCCTCTTTCTCTCTCTCGCCTTTCTCTTTCTTTTCCTCTTTCTCTCTCTCACCTTTCTCTTTCTTTTCCTCTTTCTCTCTCTCCTTTCTCTTTCTTTTCCTCTTTCTCTCTCTCTCTCCTTTCTCTTTCTTTTCCTCTTTCTCTCTCTCTCTCCTTTCTCTTTCTTTTCCTCTTTCTCTCTCTCTCCTTTCTCTTTCTTTTCCTCTTTCTCTCTCTCTCCTTTCTCTTTCTTTTCCTCTTTCTCTCCCTCTCCTTTCTCTTTCTTTTCCTCTTTCTCTCTCTCTCCTTTCTCTTTCTTTTCCTCTTTCTCTCTCTCTCCTTACTCTTTCTTTTCCTCTTTCTCTCTCTCTTCTTTCTCTTTCTTTTCCTCTCTCTCTCTCTCTCAGTCTCTCTCTCTCTCTGCTTTCTTCTTTCTTTTGCTATCTTTCTCTCTTGCTTTCTGCTTACTTTCCCCTTTCTTTTCCTCTCCCTGTGCCTGCTTCCCTCTTTCTTTTCTTCTCTCTCTCTCTCTCTCTGCTTTCTTTCCTTATTCTTTCCCTATCTCACTTTCTCTCACTCTATCTGCTTGCATTCGTGTTTCTTTTCCCCCCCTCTCTCTCTCTACTTATTTTCTTCTTTCTTTCCCCCTCTTTCTCTGCTTGCTTTCAGCTTTCTTTTACTCTCTCTCTTTTTGTTTCCCCCTCTTTCTTTTCTCTTCTTGCAATTTCTTTTCCTCTCTCTCTCTCTCTCTCTCTGCTTGTTTTCTTTTTTTCTTTTCTTCTCTCACATTCTCTTTCTACAGTCTTTCCTCTCTCTCAGCTTTCTTTCCTCTTTATTTTCATCTCTCTCACTCTGCTTTCTTCCCCTTTCTTTTATTCCCTCTCTCTGCTTGCTCTGTCATTTCTTTTCCCAACTCTCTCTCTCTCTCTCTGCTTGCTTTTCTCTTTCTTTTCCTCTCTCTCTCTCTGCTTTCTCCCCTCTTTATTTTCCCCTCTCTCTCTCTGCTTGCTTTCCTCTTTCTTTTCCTCTCTCTCTCTGCTTTCTCTCCTCTTTATTTTCCTCTCTCTCTCTGCTTGCGTCCATCTTTTTTTCCTCTCCCTCTGCCTGATTTCCTCTTTCTTTTGCTCTTTCTCTGCTTTCTTTCCTCTTTATTTTACTCTCCCCTACTCTGCTTACTTTCCCCTTCCTTTTCCTTCCTCTCTCTCTGCTTGCTGCCTTCTTTGTTTTTCTATCTTCCTCTCTCTCTCTTGCTTGCTTTCCTCTTCTTTTCCTCTCACTATCTCTTTCAAACACTTTCTCTCTCTCTCTCTCTCTCTCTCTCTCTCTCTCTCTCTCTCTGCTTGCTTTCTTCTCGTCATCTATATCCCACCGTCCTTTCTTTCATTTTTATTCCTTCTGATCATTTCCTCTTTCCACCTACCTAGACTCGCCCAGACTATTTCCTCCATTTTAATTCTGTTTTATCTTTTCATTTTAGGCTTCTTTTACTTCTTCTTCTCTTATTTTCTCAACACGCCCATTCCAATTTCGTTTTTCTCAGATCAATCAACTCTTCATAAATTCTGACGCGCCATCTTTCTTTCTCTTACCACTCTACAATTCCCGACCAAATTACTTATCACAACTTTACCAACATTTCATCTTCTGCCACTAACCTCTGACCTGCACTATTTTGTTGAGACAATTTTAATGTGTTTGTCGTTTTCCTGGTCCCAAATATATCTTTCATTTCCTCCACTGATCACGGTCGGCACAAATATATTTAATCCGTCAAAAATTTAATAATGGTAAGGTCGACTCTTTGTCCCGTCTCCAACTCTGTTTACAAGCGAGATAAAAAAAAAGAAACAAAGACATATTGAGAGAGGGAGAGAGGATTCCATTAATGAAGAACAGTTTTGTTGTTTTAGGCAAAACGCAGACGCGCGAAAGGTGAATAGAAGATTTTTTCTCCCTTTTTATTTAATAAAAATAATTTCCTATTTGAGGGGGGCACGGTGGAGTGAATGGACAGCGGCTCGGATTGAGAAATCGGAAAGCCGTGTTCGAATCCCATGCTAATATCGGGAAAGGTATGAATCCACTTCTTCTCCACCACATCAGCTATGGGTAAAGACTGGGTTCTATCGCCTTGGATGGCAACCGGTCTAGGAGAAAGAAAAACTCTGAATTCAAAACCGGGTTAGAGAGGGTTGGGCTCTGTCAGGTAATCTTGCCAAAGAAACACCATCTCTACTGTGGCTGCAATAAACATGGTGTCCCTACGACATCTGCGAGTCACGGGATAAAATCCTACCAAATAAGAGACCACGAGTTCCATATATATATATATATATATATATATATATATATATATATATATATACTCTTAGGGAGTGCTATATTTATGTGCTCAATATTAGAGATAGAGCGTGTGAAAATATAAAAGTGAACATTGAAGTCAACACTGAGAGGCGATAGTCTGTTTCATGCTAGATGCAATAGTCAGGCTACAAAATATATATATATATATATATATATATATATATATAAATATAGATAACTAGACTCGTTTCGAAAAACCCTCAAACTTTTGATTTGCTAATCAAATCAATCTCGAGGGAAAAAAGGTTAAACTTTCCTGACGATCCGTTTAGGTGAAACCTAGGTAGGTTTGTCTGGCTCACTAGGTGTATCTCTCTCTCTCTCTCTCTCTCTATATATATATATATATATATATATATATAATTTCAACAAAAACTTTTTAAAACGATACACAAAATCTATCATGCTTCAGTAGAGAGATGGTACTTCTTCAGGCGATGGTCGTAACTTGTGATAAAAATGATTTATTAAACAAATATAAAACAAATCTTTACCTCCTTTCGTAACTGTGTATTGAGCACTTTTTAAAAAAAATAAATGCCACGAACTGTGGACTTTTACAAAATCTTTTTTTTTCTCATCATTCATATATATATATATATATATATATATATATATATATATATATAGTAATCTGTTGGTATAACTCAGGTAAGTTCTATTGACACAACATAGAATTTGAAATATGTTAAAAACTGACTCACAAAAAGCGCTTAAGTATCTTAATTCCAATTACACACACACACACACACACACATATATATATATATATATATATGTGTGTGTGTGTGTGTGTATATAAAGAAAAAATATTATAATATAGGCTCTACTTGTGTATCGAGCACTGTTTTTTTAAATTAAAAACAAATATACTAAAAGAAATTCGGCTTATTAGCCTAACGGTTCTTTCCTATTTTTCTATATATTTGCACGCACACATACACACACACACACACACACACAACACTATCATTCATATATATATATATATATATATATATATATATATATATATCGTTTTGAACAATAAAGAATATTAAAAAATCAAATTCTTCAGACATACTGGGTTGTATATTAATAGTTTTTCATTTTTATTATTTCAGTTAGATTACTCGACGTGTTTCGGCCAGCATGGCCATCATCAGGAGAAAAAATTCTGCTTCTTAGTAGCAGTTAAGTATAGAAATAAATGACTTGACAGAAAAATGTAATTTATCAGTAGTTTTCATTTGTTTTTTTTTATTTTTTTATCATGAATTTTGGTCAGTCCTTGTGTTGGTCAAACAGTCTCTTTTAAGTTGTTATTTATATATATATTTCTCTCTCTCTCTCTCTCTCTTTCTTTCTTTCGCTCTCTGTCGCTCTTTATATATACACGTACATTTCGAAAGATTTAATGGTCTTTTATGTATCTACATATATGTTAAATATTACTTAAACGTTATTTTAGTGAATACTCATATTTGAGTAGATGATGAGCATATTTATTAAACACTGTTTATTTTCGTCTACCGATATAAATTGTCCCCTGTTCGGCCACACATGAAATAAAAGTAATTATTTGTACGGAAAATAAGGATCTACGTAAATCAAATCGTCTTTAAATCAAGTGGCAGCAGAAGAATTATCGTTGAATGTGGCTAAATCGGTAAAGTATGTCAGGCTCTATGAGGTTTCTTTATAGGATACCGGTTCGATTCCTGTCGGAGGACGTGTATTTTCTATGAAAATTTCTCAGACTTTCAGGCCGGTAAATGTTGTTAATACTGTTTATTATAAACAGAGCATTTACTTAAATATTTGAATCTATAAAAAGAACGTATAAACATAAAAAATGTTTTATGAATACAAT